GGGTCCCCCGGTGGGTCACCGGGTCGGCCTCAGGGGCAGCCAGGGGGATCCCCCGGTGGTCTGTTGATTAACGATCAGATTAGTGCGGTTAGGAGTCAGCAGGTAGTCACCTTGCAAACCCGTTAATGAGTTAATCGGATAATCCGCCCCCTTGGTAGCCTGCCCTGTCAGTCAGTTAATTGTGCGCCCTCTGAATCAGTCTCCTGGTAAGTTAATCCCCCTGTGAGGCGCTCGGTCGTTGGTCGCACGGTTATCCCAAGTGTAAGCCAGTTAATCAGCTTCACTGTTATCTTTGGTTCTTCTAGAACATCAGCTTTCCAGGCAGCCCGAGTAGGTCGGCTGTCCCAGAGTGAGTCTTTTCCGCAGCAAGTCGGGAAAGCCCTTCATGCCACGTAGGCTCTGCCAAGAGATACACAGTCGGAAGTGTGCTGAGCACCAGGAATACCCTGGAGCCCTTGGGACAGAGCCAAAGGTACGATGGAGAGAAGTGATGGGCACAGGGAAATGTAAGGGGGGGCGGAGAGGAAAGGGCGCCTGAGGAGCCGTCCCGGGTCTAAAGCCTGGCAGAGAAGAGCGGGAAGAAACCAGAACTGTGGGGCTGGGCGGATCGCTACGTGTCAAATCAAAAACCCCGCTCATGTGACAGATGAGGAAATCAGAGGAAAAGCAGAGAGGAGCAAATGTCTGACCCAGGTTACTCAGTGATTTACTAGCAAAGCCGGGGACCGGACCCAGACAGGGCTCATTCCAACATCCAAAATGGGGTGTTAAGTCAGAGAAGGGGGGCGGGGAATTGGCAGTGCAAAAAGGGAGCAGATGTGGCTTTCCTCCCTCCAGGTTTCTGCTCAGGTGTCCCTTCCTCACAGAGGCCTTTTCTGACCACCCTACCTAAGCCGTTTCCCCACGGTGCCCCCTCCCGTAATCCTCTGTCTTGTTATCCTGCATTATTTCCCTTCCGTCGTACTTAATAGTCATCAAATTATCTTGGTTGCCAACTTGTTTATTGTCTGCCTCCCACACGAGAATGAGGACAGGGATTGTCTTATTCTTGGTTACCGCCTTACCCCTAGGACAGTGCCTGGCATAAAGCTCAAAATGTCGGTTGCTGGAGGGAATGAATGAGAGTGCTGTCACTAGGGATTGTGCTCCTGGAGACTCATTAGAGGAAGCCGACTGTGTTTGGAAGTAGAGAGCCTCCATGGAGTGGCAGGAGGTGAGGTCAGAGAGGCAAAGGGAGAGGGCTTTGTGCAGAACTTGGACTTTTACTCTGAGTGAGATGAGAGCCCCTGGAGAGTTTTGCAGAGAAGGGGCAGGATCTCGCTGAGGTGTTGATAGGTTCCCTCTGGCTGCCACTGTGGGGAATAGAACAGACAGGGGCTAAAGGTAGAGCAGCAAGGCCAGTGAGCAGGTTACTGTAGCAATCTGGGTGAGAGAGGATGGTGGTTTGGGCCAGAGTGGCCACAGTGGAGGTGACTGATAAGTCGTGAGATTTTGAATATATTTTAAAAGCAGTGCCAGGGCGCCTGGGTGACTCTGTCGGTTAAGCCTCTGCCTTTGGCTCGGATCATGATCTCGGGGTCCTGGGATTGAGCTCCACATTGGGCTGCCTGCTCAGCAGGACCTCTGCTTCTCCTCTCCCTCTGCCCTTCCCCTGCCCCGCTTGTGCTCTCTCTCTCTCTCTCTCTCTCTCTCAAATGAATAAATAAAATCTTAAAAAAAAAAGTTGGTATGGAGAAAGAGGAACTTGAGTTTTAAATCTGTCTCCAACGACACTTGCTCAGTGCATTAAGAAAATTGCTTATTTCTCCAAGCTTCAGTTTCCTCCCCCATAAGGAGGAAATCATAAGACTTAATTCCTCAGGGTTTCTGGAAATAAATGAAGACTACCCAAATGAGAACAAACAAATTACTTACTCAGAGCTTGCTGTGACAAGAGAGTCAGCCACCGTCCCTTGCATTTGGCCAGTGACTCAAAGGCAGGCAGCAGAGTGGGAAAAACAAGTTTCAGATAGAGATTGTGATCATGGGGAAGCTAAAGATTAGCCAATTAGAAGTGGGGGCATCTTACATAATTGGATTGGGAGCAGATTTGACTTTCTTTGATTGGTTCTGAGCTGGAAGCCGGGGCAAAAAATAGGGAACCTGGTGCTCATTGACCAAGTTCTGACCATTCTGGGCCAGTTGCTGCAGAGATTGTGGTTTGGCTTCCTGGACTCGTTTGCTCGAAGTGCAAAATCAGAGTCATATATGCCATATAGTTGAGGCTCACGGGTCTTGTGTGGTATGGCCATTGTCTGTATATTCAGTGCCTCACGTTCTTGGGAGGATAAATGGGATGATGTACATGTGAAATTGGTGGGTATTAGTAGCTAAATAGATTAGTTTACAATATTTTAAAATTTCGTTATGGCCTACTTATGCAGTCCTGTCTTTGTTTTCATTTACTGAGTCATCTTTATGAAAAGAATTGGTTGTAGTGCATGAATGCATACGTGTGTGTCAAACAGTGCCAAAGTGTACAGAATAAAAACTGACAACCCTACTTCGTCTTTTCTCTAATCACGACTCTACCCATAGGTAAGTACTGGTACCAGCATACTATGTATCTTTCCAGATCTTTGTTTTATTTATGTTTATCTGTTTATGTATTATATATGAACACATAACTTATATATGAGCATACATATATATTTACATGTAATACACATATATAAAACTTTCATATAAATGACAATGATCAAATTTTCACTTACATATTATGAAATATTTCAGATAAATAGATGTAAAATGGTATTACAAGAGCATGTATCTGCTACCCAACTTAAAATTTAAAACACTGCCTCTTTATCCTTTCCCCAAATATATTTCCCACTCAAACTTGGAAATAACTGCTACCTTGGATCTGGCATTTTTATCCTTCTGTGTAGTAAGGTATTTAACCTAGCCTGAAGAAAGGTCTGGCCTTTGCCCTTGGCTTCTGGAAGATAATCCCTAAGTCCCTAGAATGTCATTCCTGACAGGAGTGTCTTTGTTTGCCTGGGGGGCATCATACTGAAGAGTCTGAAAGTGTGATTAGGGGCCACACCAGATCATGTAACAGTATGATTTAGAATGGGGTCTTTGGATCATGTGGTATCAGCTCACCAAGAAGGAGCTGGAGATGGAGGGGCATCTGCGTGGCTTAGTTGGTTGAGGGGCTGTCTTCAGCTCAGGTCATGAATGCAGGGTCCTGGGATCGTGCCCCATGTCAGGCTCTGCTTCTCTCTCCCTCTCCCTCTGCCCCTCCCCCTGCTTGTGCTTTCTCTCTTTCTCTCAAATAAATAAAATCTTTTTTGTTTTTTATTTTTTTTTAAAGATTTTATTTATTTATTTGAGAGAGAGAGAGAATGAGAGACAGAGAGCACGAGAGTGAAGAGGGTCAGAGGGAGAAGCAGACTCCCTGCTGAGCAGGGAGCCCGATGCGGGACTCGATCCCGGGACTCCAGGATCATGACCTGAGCCGAAGGCAGTCGCTCAACCAACTGAGCCACCCAGGCGCCCTCTTTTTTGTTTTTTAAAAAAGGAGCTGGAGCTGGAGACTTAAGGTCAGCCATGGGGGCAGTCAATCATGCCCATATGATTAAGGTCCAATAAAAACTCTGGGCACCAGGCTCAGGTGAGCTTCTCCGGTTGTCATATTCCATGCATATTGTCACACATCATTACCAGGAAATATTAGTTATACTGCCCATGATTCCACAGAAACTCTCTGGTTGGAAATTTCCTGGACTCTGCCCTATATGCTTCTTCCCTGGGCAGATTTTAATCTGTATCCTTTAGTCGCAATACACAATAATCATGAGTATAAGAGCTTGAGTAGTCTTGAGGACCTTAAAACTCAGAGTTGGTGTTAGAAGTGAAGGTGGTTTTAGAGACCTTTGAAATCTGCAGTTAGTGACAGAAGTGAGGGCATCTTTTTGGACTGTTCACTAACTTTGCAGTTGGCATCAGAAATTAGATTTGTGAAAACCTGGCTCAGTGAAACATAAATTTTGGGAAGAGCAAGGATGTGAAGTCAGGGGAGGATGAACCTTTCATGTCCCCAAAGTCACTTATGGGCATGAAAATGCAACTGTTCTGCAATGAGTTACAGGAGGTTAAGTTACCAAATTTTTTTTTTTTTAATTATGGATCCAACTCTGGAAGAGTTGACTCACTGGATACATAAAGAAATTCAAAATCTCGAGAAACAAGCTAAATATACAATCCTTTGGTTATTTTTATCTGTAATAGCTAAAATGAAAGTAAAGAAAAGGGCTGGGTTGGATCCTGACACTGGGCCAAGCTTGGGTTCTGTCCAGTCTGAGCTATGGCTGCTAGCCTCAGGGCTCCTACTAAAGGGAAAAGCCATGTTGAAACAATAGGTCGCAAGGAAAATTAGAGTGATTCACAGGAGTATGAAGAAAGATGAAGGGGAGGGGTCCCTGTGTGGCTCAGTCGGTTAAGCATCCGACTCTTAATTTTGGCTCAGGTCATGATCTCAGGGTCGTGGGATCAAGCTCCATGTTGGACTCCACACTCAGCTTGTCCCTTCCCCTCTGGTCCTCCCCCCAACTCCTGCCATCTCTCTCTTAAATAAATAAATAAACATCTTTTTAAAAAACAGGAAAGATGAAGGGAAGTGTCAAAGGGACTCATCCCAGTGGAGAGGGAAATCTTTAAACAGTTATTAAGAAATAGAGTGGACATTGATGGGATCAAAACAAAGGTCTTAGGGCAGGGCTCTTGGAGTTTGGGTGGACCAGGGCGAACCCCAGCTGGTCCCTCAACTTTGAAGGATCCTAATCAAGTCTGCTCTAGTTGCCCTAGGTTAGAGGAATTTCAAAAGCCAGAAGGCAAATGTGACAATGGGACCCTAACTTCAGATTGCCTGAGGTGATGATTCCATTATCTAATCAAGATAAAAATTGGTAGGTTTCCTTGGCTCCATGCCCAGCTGGAGACTCAAAGCGATAGGCACACTAGTGGTAAAGTGGCCTGGAGAAGAGATCTATCTGGGGTTCCTTAAGCTGGGAGGCCCATGCATTGTGAGTCCTAGTGAGAATTGTAAGTTAAGATTGGGAAGATATGAGAATACAAGGATTGAGGGGGTGGAATACTTACAGATTTTATGTAAAGTGATTGTGTCTCCTCCTTTATCTAAATATAAGTAGATACTGTGTCTGACTGTGGAACGTTTACCTTACCTAGTATTATGAAACAGGAGGCATGTAAATTCTCCCTTCAACCACTATTGATTGGACATGCTAAATGGGAACCAATAAACTTGCCCAAGCCCACACAGGTTATTAATTTGAAAAAATATAGGATATCTGGTGAAAAAAAAAAAAAACATGTCAGAAGCCTAGTGTTTGATTGGTTTATTTGGATTTTGGATGACACGTATTTTACATTTGGGAATATGGCTAGCCCCTAACCATAAAATTACTAGAATGAAGTCTTGGGAGTCCTTATGCAGACTGCAGTTTATGACAAAAACCAGTGAGTACCACCCAGTGGTGACCACTGGGATTTTTTTTAAATCCGAAAATTTCCATTTGAGGGGCGCCTGGGTGGCTCAGCCGTTAAGCGTCTGCCTTCGGCTCAGGTCATGATCCCAGGGTCCTGGGATCGAGTGCCGCATCGGGCTCCCTGCTCCGCGGGAAGCCAGCTTCTCCCCCTCCTTCTCCCCCTGCTTCTGTTCCCTCTCTCGCTATCTCTTTCTCTCTGTCAAATAAATAAAAATTTAAAAATCTTAAAAAAAAAAAAAGAAAATTTCCATTTGAGAGACAGCGAGTTGGCTATTGGGCTTTGATTGAAACTGCCCATAGGACCAAAGGAAGTAAAATAATCCTGAAACCTGAAATACTCATGATTATCTTTGGCAATGTTGGATAAACATGCTAATTAGGAAGGCCATGCCCAGAAGAGTTCAATAATAAAAAGGAAATGGTTTATAGAGGAACATGCTACCAAGGGAATATGAGGAGGTACTCAATGTATTCAGGAGCAGGTGGTCTTTCTTCCCCTCTTTTATCACCTGAGGAGCTGCCAGATCCTATTGCCACTTGGGTGGTAGCAATGAATAGCTCTCAAATGACTGACAAAGAGCTGTTTGGTTAATAGGGAAGGCTGTTGCAAGATGAATGGTTTCCTTTGAGTGGGAAATATTAGCAATGGTATGCTAGTAAATATTTAATAACCAGATCTTCAAAGGGAAAAATAAGCCCTGAATTGTAGCATTGCCAACTTCCGCTGTGTAGACACTCTCACCATAGACAGTTTCAAGCTACCAACTCAAGTTGTTATGAGTTAGGAAGAGATCCAGTAACACACCATTATGTAGTATTTCCATCATACAGATAGAATAGATGTAATACAATAGATGTAAATAACCTCAAGAACACAGATAACGGTGAGATGTACTAGAAAAATTAGGAAGTAATCAGTTTCAAGTAATTATTACCTTTGGGTTTTTTTTAAAGATTTTATTTTATTTATTTGAGAGCGAGAGAGAGAGAGAGAGAGAGAAAGAGAGCATGAGCAGGGGGGAAGGGTAGAAGGAGAGGGAGAAGCAGACTCCCCCCTGATCAGGGAGGCTGATATGGGACTTGATCCCAGGACTCTGGGATCATGACCTGAGCCGAAGGCAGGAGCTTAACTGACTGAGCCACCCAGGTAACCCTAATTATTACCTTTGTTTTTAATATAATGTGCTTATGAGTTATATCATTTAAATTATAATGACTGTGTTTGATAACCAGCTTGCAATATTCTTAAAAATTTAATAATCAGCTTTTTTTTTTTAAGTTGGTTTATGCAGGCTCCAGCACACTGATGAATATTATTTAGAAACCAAGATATAGGTGCTAGGCATGTTTATCACTATGGATGTGTCATTGCTCCTAGGCTCTTTTTTTTTTTTTTTTTTTAAGATTTTATTTATTTGACAGAGAGAGACACAGCAAGAGAGGGAACACAAGCAGGGGGAGTGGGAGAGGGAGAAGCAGGCTCCCCGCCGAGCAGGGAGCCTGATGCAGGGCTCATTCCCAGAACCTTGGAATCATGACCTGAGCCAAAGACAGACGCTCAACGACTGAGCCACCCAGGCGCCCCATCTCCTAGGCTCTTTCAATGAACAGAATATGGAAATAGAATTTGTTTTTTTAAACCAAGGGTTTGTACCAATATTGCCAATTAAAATTAAACTTTAATTTCTTCTCTTAAATTATTATATTTTATATTGTTTCTCTTTTTCCTTACTGTGAAAATCTTTAAAACATAAATAGTTTCAAAATTACAATACCAGTACTGGTAGCTTTCTTTGTCTCCCTTAAGACCGTACAGCTAGAGCCCTGTGTTCAAAGGTTACATGAAACAGATATTCTTCCAGAATCATTCTGTTATCACTGTTTTCATTTGTTTACTAGATTTTGCTTGTATTCAATTTTAGGGTTTTGCTTTCTTTTTCCCTTCTAGGTTTAAGTGACCTTCTTGAACACTAAAATATCAATATGGTTGGGAAGGTTTTTTTTTTTTCTTTGACCAGAACCATGTCACCTGACTACCAGGACATACATGTAAGCGAACTTGGGAACATTAATATTTATTATCTTCAGTCTCTGTAGTGGAGGCAACAGGGACAATGGTGCTGGGATGCCTGTTGGGTCAGAAGCCAGCAGTGTCTGCCACAAGGTATTATGGACTGGGGAAACATCCCCTCCTCCTTCCTTGTCCAGGAATTGATACAGAGATGAGGGACTCATGGCCCAGAGAGGGAAAGGATTCGTCTGTGGTCCTCCAGTAAATCACTGACATAGCTTACATAATCAGTGCTCGAATCCTGGGCTCATGCTCTTAAATCAATGCTTTGCCAAAAAAAGTGGGTGGGGGAGGATAGTTTCATGAAAAGTGAGATTAACATTTGAACATTTTATCAGTGACTATCGAAGGTCATTTTCTAAGGTCTTCTGAGGTCACAAAGGTCTGTTTGATGTAGGGCCTTCCCTTAAAGAGCTCAGTCTCAGGCAGACTCTCTTCGAAGATATTTCATTAGTTTCCCAACTCAAGTGACCTAACCAAATAAGAGTGTGTCTTCCTCATGTAAGGAGACGTACAGAGGTAGGCTGTGTGGAGCTGGTGTAGCAGTTCCACAAGGCCATCAGGGACCGGGCTCCTCACACTGCTCGGCAAGAATGTCCTTCATGAGTGGCACTCATCCTCACGGTTACCTCATGGTTGCCAGATGGCTGCTCTACCTCCAGTATCTTATCCATATTTTAGGGAGGAAGGAGGAGGAAGGAACAAGGAAGAAGGAAATGAGAATATCAGGAAAGGAAAACTTTCCCAGGAATCCCCAGCTCACTTCCACTAAAACAACATCACGTGCCCCACGTTAACTACAAAGGAGTCTAGACAAAGTGGTGCTTTGGCTTAAAACATTGCACCCCTAAGCAAAGCTGGATTTGTTAGGAATGAAGAGCAGGGTAAATAGTTGGTGTCTGGCTGCACAAAAACAAATAACTCTAGTAGAAGGAAAAAACTGATTCTTTCCTCAAAAAACAACAAATGAAACAAGTTGGGTAATTCTGGAAGGGGAGAGATTTACTCACTTTTGACTGGGTAGGGAGATCAGGAAAGGCTGCGTGCCGGAGACGGCACTGAATTCAGCTCTGAAACTGAAGTAGGATGTGAATGTGGATGGAGCCGAGTTGCAAGAGGAAAAACTGAATGGGAGAAATCCTTGAATGACGGGAGAAGGGTGATTAGGGTGAAATTGGAGAAGGCCACGTTGTCCCTGTGGCATGGAAAATGTTAGGAAAGGCACGGGGAGCCAGAAAGCAAGGGTGAGGTAAAGTTGTAGAGAACCTCATTTGCAAAGCAAAGAAGTTTGGAACTTTTCCTATCAGCAGGAGGAATTCCTGTCCATTTTCATTTCCCCAAAGGATGTTAAGGCTGTCCCACCCACTCCATCCCTCACGACCCGCACACTAACTCAAGCATGTCATTCTTTCCCAGCCACCACTCCAGGCTCCTCCCTGGCCACCTGGCCTGAGTTGCTCCCGTCTAAGCCATTTCTCCTGTGTCCCCAGTGGGTTATTGCAAACACCCAGACTGGCCCTGTCCCTCTGAGGTACACAACCCTTCCATGAATCCCTATTAGCTTTGAGACAGAACCCAAAGACTTTGTAATTGAGCTTCTCCCAAGTGGACTGGGACTGGGAGGGAAAGACCAGAGTTGGAATTGAGTCCTCACAGAGATCGTAGGAGGGCTGCCTGTCCCTAGATGCTCTTGAACGTCTCATCCCACACAATTCCTGCTTCTGAGCATGAACAGTCCTCCAGGATGACCAGAGACAGAAGCCCCTGGCTTGCTAAGAATACTTAATGCTCTCCCATTCCCACATCCTCTTTCAGTTACTCATCATCTCGTCTTCTGAACCACAAGGCTCTGATGTGAGAGCCAGCTGTGGCGAAGGCCCCGGCCCCTCCTATTCCTGAGGACCACTACTGCTGTAGATGGCAGGACCGCTGCCGCAGCTGGGTGAGTGGGACGAGAGACCGTGCTGGAGGTGCCTGAGGCTCCAGGACTGGGGCGGGCTGGGCTGCAAGGGTATGAGAAGAGAGGACATTAGGGTGTAGAGTACCAAATAACCAACATGGACTAAACATCCGTGTGCTGGGTGCTGGCAGGGCTGGGAGTGGCTGAGGTGAATAGCAGATTGGGCCAGGGAGTGGAGTTGGGGGTAAGGGTGGGCACTCAGCCAGGGTGGTTGAAGGTATGAGAGCATTAGGAGCTGGAAGGCCCAGGGTTAGTCAGGTTTCCCATATCTGTCAGCCACTGTCCACAGGCATGCTTTCCCAGATGGTAAAAATAAATAATCCAGAGGACAGCAGTGGGGGAGAGTCCCTGCAAATTCCTCATCCCCCCCCCCCCCCGCCAAGTGACCCAGATGAAAAGTCAAAATCAAGGGCTACTGTTTAGGAGAAAATTAACCCCTTTCTTCCAGTAACCTCAAACAACTCCATTGAAAAGGTAGGAAACACTAAGAACCGATTCCTCATTGGAGACCTTGTAGAGTGTGACTGTTCCTTATTAACTGACAAAAGTCACCAAGTGGACAATATATCCTACCTATTCTATGTAGAGTGAGGCAGTCAGGCAGTTGCGAGAATGTTCTTACCCAGAAAATGCCAAAGCAATCTCTGCTTAAGATGAATACTCAATCAAAGGCCACCTGGGACTGGGAAGAAAGAAGTCTAGAAAGGTGTTCTGTTTACTGAATGGGTAACACTTTACCATACATTCAGCTAGGAACACTGCCAACCTTAGGGCATTCATTCTTACATCCATGATAATAGGATACAGGTTCAATGAATACCCCTACTTTCCAAACTGGGAAAGAACAAAGAGGGGGGAGGGGCTTGGCCAATGGCATCCAGACAGTAAGAGACAAAGGAGAAATTGATCACAGGTGGAGCTAGGAAGGAGCAGAGCCTGAGAGATGGGAGGAAGAGGAAGTAGGAGCTGAGATGAGGAAGTCTAGCCTGGGGCTGGCGGTGGGGGTCAGGTCAGGGGTCAGAAGCGATGTAGATCCTCAGAAAGCTCCCTTGCCTTAGTCAGGTCCAGTGTTCATTTTCAGGCCGGGTGAGGAGAGAGGATGAAGGGAAACTGGTCTGTGAAGCCCAGCTCCTCTGGGCTTCCAGAAGGTCTTTCCGAAGCTCCTTGGGAATCATGAATAAGGAAAAGGCTGGGTCCTGGAGGAAGTGGAGACAGGAAGTCAGGATGCCTTGCTGACTGCTGACCCTCCCTCCCCACAGCACCCGCCAGGCTGCTCTATTCCTCTTGTTCCTTGGAGAAGACTCTGCAGTGCAGCTGTTCCTTCCATGGGATCCCCACACCCTCCGTGCAGTGGTGGATGGGAGGTACTCCTGTGGGCGTGAACAACACCGATGGCAGCCTCCAGGTGACTTCCACAATAATTGCCCCCTGGGCCAACAGCACCATCAGCCTGACAGAGCAGCCAAGAATGAGCACGAGGCTTCTCTGTAAGGGGAAGAACAAAAATGGAACCCACGCTTTGAGCATCCTGCTGATACCAAGTGAGGGTAGAGGGGGCCCAGTGACTGGGTGAGGAAGAGTGGGATGTGGAGGGAGCAGAGCTTTGGCTCGGATTCCAAGGCCTCAGAAGAGCAGTCTTTCTCACAGGCTATCTTTTCCCAGGAGAGAGGTCTTCGCCGGGCAAGACTTTCATTAATGGGCTGATCCAGGGCCTTGTCTATGGAGCCATTGCAACTGCACTGCTATTCCTCTGCTTCACCCCACTCATGTGAGTACCAGCGATAAGATTCCACCTGGCAGGCCCTGCAAGGCTGGCATAGAAAGGGAAAGACAGGGCCCTTGCCCCCAAGGAACTTAGGGTCTGGCGAGGGAAGAAGGCACCAAACATGGTCACCGCAGTCCAGGGCCATCAGGACTATGCTGAGCCACTAAGAGGTTCAAAGGACAGAGCTTTTCAGCGAATTTCATAAAAGGAGGAAGTGGCAGCCCTGGAGAAGCCAACAGAGTCCCTGGGGGGTGCTGCCTGAAGCGGGCTGTCATTTCTTTGGTGGAAAGTAGTATATGCGTACCCCAGAGACACATTTTGAGGAATTGCCAGTGTCTTTGTGCAATGTCAGGTGCATTGAGAGTGAGAGGAAATGGCTAAAGATGAAGTTGAAAAGGCTTCTTGGTGTTAGTTCATAAAGACTCTTGAAAGTTGGCTAAATGTGTTGGCTAGAAGCCCAGAATGAGAAGGGCAGAGTTGCCAGAGGTCAGGCCAGAGAGTTTGGCAGAGGGGCCTCTGGCCAGTCTGAGTATCTCGGACTCGATCCTCAGTTGGGAGCCATGGAACTGTGCTAAAGTGGGAAGGAAAGCTCCTAGTGCAAGGTGTCTGTACACAGACCAAAGAGCAAGAGCCCAAGGCCTGAAACCAGGCAGGAAGTTGGTACCACAGACTACACAGCAAAGAGCCAGGTTTGAGCCAGGCAAGTGATGAGGGGCAGTCAAAGAGATGGGACTTGGGACTGATGGACTATAACGGGTGAGAAGAGAGAGGCACAAGGCAGCAGGGCAAACTGGGGAGCTATTTTTAAAGCATAATCAGCTGGACTTAAAGACCAATAACAATCCTTTACAGTTTGCAAAGCCCTTTCAGAGCTAACCTCATCTGAGCCCCACAGCCTGATAAGCAAGGTCTCCCCATTTTACAGAGGATGAAACCAATTCCCAGAGAGGCTGTGTGGCTTGCCCTCAATAACACAGGAAGCCAGTGGTGTCACTGAAGTTGACCTTGACCGGAAGTTCCGGTCAAGGCTAGAGCCCATTGTGGGGCAGAGAGCCAGAACTGATCAGGGGGGTCATTTCCTTAGCATGAAATATATCAGAATGAAGCTGTCAAAGAAAGTTGCAGTGGTCAAAGCAACAAACAACCCTATCAGAGCAAGCCAAGAAGCCAAGATGCCTCTGAAGCCTCAAGAGCCAGAAAAATCCACAGTCAGCCCATCTTCAGAGAAGCAGATATTGGTGGGTATCCATTGTGCCTGGAATCTAGTCTATCAGAATAATGGCAGTGAGACTCACAAGGAGAGGCACGTACAGTGTTTAAAGGAGTTATCATCCTCAATCTTATAGGGCATCTAGAATGCCAGAATGTGCTGGCAGATTATCTTATGATGAAGGGAAGAAGGATGAAAATTAAAAGAAATAAAGACTAATTAGAATCAGCAATGTACACACACACACACACACACACACACACCCACCCACACACACACACACCCCTTCACACTGAATCCACATTGAGAAGGGGATCAAAAGAACCCCTAACAGTGGTTGTAGCATCAGAGTAGAAACCAAAGCTTTGGTCTCTTGAGTGTCTGGCAGGTTGTGGTCAACACATTCTGTAGATGCCACAGGCCCATGTTAGCCTGAAGTGCTTAGAGACCAGCCCAAAGCCAAGGTACTCCTTCATTTACCTTGAACCCCATATCCTCAGCAGAGCTTGGAAGAGACAGGCCTAGCTGTTATTTACCATTTATAATTCTCTAGGACCAGAAATGCCCTGCTGCCCTCCTTGCACTCTACACTAGGAGCTGGTTTATCCACTTTGTGGATAAATCATGCATCTGTTAAATTCCACCAAAATGTCTTACAGTATCTCTTAACCTCCGTGCTGGGGTCTCAGAAATAGGTGAGACCCAGGCCTTGCCCTCAGAGAGCAATCAGGCTGGTGGAAAGGCAGCCTTACAGTAACAGGGCTGAGATGGGGGTTATGGTTACCCAGAGGAAGGAGGGACTGACCCTACCTGGGGAAGTCAGGCAGAACTTCCCAGAGGACTCTGGGGAACACCAGGTGGGCTCCTGGTGCTGGGAATGCACACGGAGGACCAGCAGGAGAAGACAGGGTTGCAGACTCCAATCATGAGATTCTGAGAAAAGGTAAAGCCAGTGCCTACTCCACATTACTGTAATTCTGTGCTCAAAGAGAGAGACAGGATTCTTTCTCTTTAAGATTTGGATACTTCCCTTCTAGACCTGTTCAACATCCTTCTTTCTTTGCCCTGCTCTGTAGCATCCCTTACCCTAGACTTCCAGAAAAAAGCAAAATAAACTGGAACTGATGAAGCCTGTGAAGACTACATGCCTACCTGGAGTCCCCACTGTCCATGGAATTACCACAGTCTACAGAATACTCAGCAACCCCCAGAAACCCTGGATGGAGTCTATGACAAACCCAAAGCCCCCAGAGTCTCCTCATCTCACAAGGACCCCTCAAGCCCCACCTGCCCCTCACACTGATTCTCCGTTGAATAGGGTTACTTTGGAACCTGGTCTTAGAACGTTTGAAAGCAAACTCTATGATCTGCTGTTCGGGTTAACTAGAAGAAATATGCCTTGGCCTATGGTGTCAAAGGAAGGGAAAATAAATATGAGACCATGGTCCACCAAAAAGTAGCTTTGGAGCCCCTACTGTATGCCCAGAACCTGGAATGTACATACAAGAACACCAGGCTTTAGAGCCATCATATATGGACTGAATACAAACTTCAGTGCTTAGTGGCTATATGTCTTTGGATAAGACCTTTCCCCACTGCCCTGAGGCATACATGGGTGGAGAGTGAGTGAAAAGTGGTGTCCAGAGGTGGAGGTGGAGAAAAGACACAAAGTGTGTCCAAGAGCCCAGAGGGGGTCTATGCACTGGAGCTCAGGTTGAACAGTGAGCTCCTGAGGTCCCTGAATGCCAAGATTAAGGCATTAGAACTTTATCTGGTAGGATGTTAATCCTGACTCCCTTGGAATGTAAGTTCCACAAAACAGGGATCTTGTCTGTCTGGTTTTCTGCTTGTACCACCAGCACCTAGAATGGTTCCTAAAATATAACAGACTCTCAAAAATGTTTGTTGAATAATTGAGTGAATGAATGAATGAATGAATGGATTATAAGCCGTTGCAAGGTTTGAAGCAAAGAAGTAGTGGCCAGATTTGCAATGATGTGGATGGAACTAGAGAGTATTATGCTAAGCTAAATAAGTTAGTCAGAGAAAGACAAATACCATATGATTTCACTCATATGTGGAATTTAAGAAACAAAACAGTTGGACATAGGGGAAGGGAAGAAAAAATAAAATGAAAATTGAGAGGGAGGCAAATCATAAGAGACACTGAACTCTAGGAAACAAACAGGATTGCTGGAGGGGTGGTCAGTGGGGGGAAGGGTAACTGGGTAATGGGCATTAAGGAGGGCACTTGATGTAATGAGCACTGGGGTTATATGCAACTGATGAATCACTAAATTCTACCACTGAAACTAAAAAAAAAGAAAGAAAAAAAAGAAGTGGCCAGATACATAGTGAAAGATCATTCTAGGAGTAGTTATTGAAGATGTACTTAGAAGACTGGAGGCAAAGAGCCCACTCAGGAGGTTAGTGCAATACTTCTTGGCCAGGCTGAAAGGCAGGCATACAAGGAATGAGAACAAGAATCTGGCATGAGAATGGACCACACCTGTGTACTGTTCCCCTCAGAATGGATGATACTCCCTTCTGGAGCCAGATGCTGGTAATTTTTAGAGGTTGCAAAAAGGGTCATCTCTTCCCTGGGGCATTATTTGTGTGTAAATCCAGTGGTTCTCCATCCAGCACAATGTGATGGTCATCCTGTACCCAAGAGCAGATGTTTATATAAGCCCTCACAGGTGTAGGCACCCTTTTGGCATGCAGTTCACAGATTCCACAGAAATAGGAGCATCCACTTTGTGCCAGATAATGAGGTGAACAAGCCAGACACTGGCCCTGCCTCCATGAAGCTCGTGGTCTACACAGGTACACAACGAAGGAATAAAGGCAAAATTGCAGCTTAAAATGTTGACAAGTGCTAGGAAGAAAAAGGACCTAACACTATGAGAAAGTATAAGGGACCAGGGGAGGAACCTGGTTTGGATTAGAGAATCAGAGAAGGCCTCTCTGAGAAAGTGACGTCTGTGCCGAGATCGAACGGATTACTAGGGTCTGGTCAGCAGAACAGTAGATTCTAGGCTCTGGGATGGGAGTCCAAGAGCCCAGAGGGGGTCTATGCACCAGAGCTCAGATGGAAGGGGGAGGTCCTGAGGTGCCAGACCTTTCAGGGCTTCACAGACTCTGGTGAGAAGTTCATGTTTTATCCGCACTCACGGAGGGAGGGTTGTTTCCTCGTGTGCTCTGTAATTTCGGACAGCGGGCTCCTAAGGACTGGAGAATGCCATCTAGAAGAGAAAAGGGATAGCGGATGGGAACTGGGTTGGGACTAGGTCAAGGATAGGTTCCGACAGAGAATGGACAACTGGGTCTTCCTCACGTGTCTTGGTTTGTTCGTGAATGGGACCCTGCTTGCAGGAGGGGAAAGGGGCACCAAGATGCCCTCTGATGGGCCCTGAGAGTCAAGCACTGGGCATTTCGTTCTTTGGTCGATGGCTTTCAATCCACCCCATCACCTGCTTTCCCACAAGTACTGGCTTGAGGAAGGAGTATCCCTTACAGAGTGATTGGCCTGCGTCTCCAGGACCCGGCAGGGGTCTAGAACTTCTGGCTCAGGATAAACGAAGCCCCGGTTGCAACGGGCAGCGTCAAGCCCAGGAGACCAACGGTTCTACTTCGCTGTCTCTCCCTGTCCCAGCAGCCCCCACACGCATCCCCAGGCCCTGATTGGCTCTGGACAGATTCACGCGTGCTCACTGGTACGCCTGGGGGGCGGGGCTTCGGGGAGGGGCATCCCCACGTGACCTCCGGCCCTTGGGACGTTGGCGAGGCTGGAGACTCTCAGGTCACCTAGTGAACTGGTTATGAGTGAGCTAATCAGTTAACTTTCCTCTACCTTAGTCCCTTCCCAGTGAGGCACTCAGTAGTTGTACACGTGCTTATTGCATGTCTCAGTTGATCCGGCTCGTCGAGAGGCATTAAATCAGCCGTCCATTCATCCCTCTGAAAAGTAAGTTCCTGTAAGTAGTAAGTCAGCCAATCGGTGAGTTTGGCTAAGTGCACATGATGCACTTAACCAAACTCAAAGAGGACGTTGAGTTGTTAAGGAAATAGAGTGGAGACGCGCTGAGGACAGTCCAGGCTGGAGCTGTGGGCACCCAAGACGAGGTGGTAAGACTGGAAAAGGAAATGACTGTTTAGCGGGAAGAGGAAAGAGGTTTCTTGTGGAGAAAACCCACGGCTGCGCCAAGCCCTGGAGAAGGGAATGAAACTTGGAAGAGATCAGAATTTTGAAGTTGGAAGGACCGTTACACACTGGGCACCTGCTCATTTTACAGATGGGGAAAATGGGGGGAAACGAGAGGGAACAGCACTTGCCTAAAGTTTCCAGCGAGTTAGTGGCAAAGCACTGTCTGGAACCACCCCAGAGCTCTCCTCAATCCTTGATTTGAGGTTGTAAATAAATCACTATATTCAATTAGATTCTGAGAATTAATTTCTTATTAAAATTTTTAATTTCAAAAATTAAAAAAAAAAAACCCACCTAATCTAACTGAAAGGAGAACTAGGCAAATCAACTCTCCTCTCTCAGTAACTGAGCAAGCAGATGAAAAAATTGGTATGGATATAGAATACCATCAACTGGGGTGCCTGGGTGGCTCAGTTGGTAAGCATCTGCTTTCATTCAGGTTGTGATCCCAGGGTCCTGGGATCGAGCCCCAGGTCGGGCTTATTGCTCAGCAGGGAGCCTGCTTCTCCTCCTCCCTTTGCCTGCCGCTCCCTGTGCTTGGCTCTCTCTCTCTCTGTCAAATAAATAAATAAAATCTTAATAAAAAAAAATGCCATCAACCAAATTGACTTAAATGACATTTATAGAATATTCCATCCAACAATAGTAGCGTACACACTGTACTCAACAGCTCCCGGAACATTTAGACCATGTTCTGACCTATAAAACAAGTCTCAACAAATTTAAATGAATTGGAATCATATAAAGTATGTTTTCTGATCACAGTGGAATTCAACTGGAAACTAATAGTTGGAAAATCATCAAGACTTGTGCTTATACATTTTTTTCAGTGAATATTTATCAGACAAGAAAGTTTCTAAGACTGTGAAGGACACAAAGATCTATTTGATGTAGGATCTTTCCTCAAGAATCTCAACTCTTGGATAGTTCCCCTGGTAGGATATTTCACCAATTTCCCAATGAGAGCAAGAACCAAATGAAGAGGAAGCATGTTAGGAGGCTGTACAAGGTGAATGTAGCAGCTCCACAAAGCTGTCAGGGAACCAGAACCCCTATACTGTTGTCACTGACATCCTTAGTCTGTGGCTTTGATCTTTATGGTTATCTCATGGTTGCCAAATGGCTGCTCCACCTCCAGCATCACATCCATATTCCAGGGAAAGAGGAGGAGGAGGAGCAAGAGGGGATGCGTTTTGGAAAAGAAGAAAACAACAAAGAGAAAGTGGTGCTAATATCAGAAAAGCAGAAATCCCCAAAGTCTTCAGCAGGTAGCCTCATGGTTGGTATTCTAAGTAGACAAGTCTCTCAAAATATTTGCTTAATAATAAATCTAGCAGAGTCCAAGGTTTTTATTTGCATTGCACATGTGGGAGAAGAGAAGAGTACGATCTTACAGATAGGTGTACAATATAAGAAAACAGAGATGTCAGTTATAATATTATTGTTACCAGAGCCATAAATTATCAAATAAGACAGCTGGTCAGAATTCCACTTTATTTGGATATCATTTTCATAAGACGTGGAATAATTTCTAATGTCTTTAGAGTCTCCTAAGACCACTTTGTTTAAATTGTTCTTCCAAGGGCGGATTTGTATCAACAGAGAACAGAACAAGTCAGTAACAGTCATGAATATTCATACAAAACTGTATATTGTAAAGGAGAACATAAATTATATTCTAATTAACATTCTCAGTTTTGGACAATATCAAATCAGATTCCTTGAGCCCTTTTATGACACAGAACAGTATCTTTTGATTTATAGCTTCAGGGGACGTGAACATCTTTTTCAATTCTTTCTAAGACTTGTTCCCCATGTTTCAAAACCTTTGAAAACGATTTTCCTGACTTCCCCCATCAACTTGGGAGAGAGGCCAAGCTTCTCAGCCTGGCAGTTAAGGTCCTTCAAAGAGGGAAGGACCTGGGGGTGAAGACTAGAGGAGAAAGAAGAAAGACATGGTATTGAGGCTTCAGAGAGAATCTTGGAGACACTGTTCTATCCTCGAAGCTCCTTAGCATCTGTTCCCATGAGGCTCCTAATTTTCAAGGTGAACAGAATTTCAGAGTGATTGAAGAGACAAAAGCCCCCCGTAGGCCATGAATTTACCTCTACCTCCCCCTCATGCCTCTTACTGCTGACCCTCCCCTCGGCTATTCCAAATGCTGTCCTCCACAACATGGATGAGGCCAGGGTTAGCAGCAGGGTAGGTCCTGGCCCTCTCTCATCCCTGAGATCCTGTTGGTGCTGATGTCATTGCTGCTGTTATGGTGGGGTAAGTGGAATGAGAAGCAGGGTGGGACGGGTGTGAGGAAGAGACAAAACGGTAGGGGTGAGATGGGTATCGGTGGGGAGTGGAAGACGGGCAAGGGCCGAAGTAAGGTGAAGAGGTGAAGACATAGAGAATTAAGTACTTGATAAATAATAAGTAATAAACGTCTTCCATGTGCCTGTTCTGTGACCCACAGTGTGTCCCATTTCATTTACCCAACAACTCCCTGAAGAATTATTGTTCTCATTTCACAGATGAGGAAACAGGCCTTGGGAGATTCAGCAACTTGCCACAAGTCACTAGAAACTTCAGAATTGGAGTGCCCAACTCTTCTGACTCTTAGTTCCATTTTAATGCCAGCCCATGCCACTCTAGAACTTCAGTGATAAACATACACACATCTGCTCTCTCAACACCATCATCTGTATGGTGGGTGTTAATTAAGTCACATCTTAGAGAAGAGAAATAGCATGGTGCTCCAGATCCAAGAGTGTTGAGACCCCGGTGGTGATGTTTTGAAATACTGGACTTAACGCATGGAAAGCCAGGTTCTAGGCCTGATGCTGTTACTCCTTTCTCTATAACCTGAAGCAGTCCCTTAACCTCTCTGAACCCATTTCCCATCTGTCTAAGGGACTATAAAAAACCATTATAAGGATGGCTTAACCTAATTTCTATGAAGGTGTTGGAAAATCTATAAACACTTACACAGGTCAGTGTTACTACCATAATTTTAGGATGGCATTACTAGAAGTGGCCTCGGGAGCCATGAAGTTCAGCCTCCCTCCATTTTGTACATAAGGGAGCTGCCGCCTGGGAAATGAAGAAAGCAGGGAAAAGAATAATTGTTCAGTGAAGGCCAAAAGCTAAGTTACAATCTACAATTATTAGAGGGCACTATGTGCTTTTGTAGTTACTATCTCTTAATTCTCACAACATTGCAGCACTGGTAGTATTGTGCCAATTTTACTGATTAAGAAACTGAGATTCAGAAATGGAGCTGCATGGCCAACTTCACAAGATAAAATTACTACCAACAATAAGAACAACAAAAAAACCCAGCAGGCTAAACTGGGGTGGCACACTTAGGAGTCCACAAGACCACCCTCAGGTTCAGTGATTCACAAGAAGCACTCACAGAACTCAGCAGAATTGTTATATTTTCAGTTACAGTTTATTATAACAAACAAATGGAGTTTAAAATAAGCAGAGGGAAGAGGCATGTAGGGCAGGATCTAGGAGAGACTAGGTATGAGCTTTCACTTGTCTTCTCCCAGTAGAGTTGTGCATACAGTGTTTACTTCTCCTGGCAATAATGTTTGGCGATATGCCCAGTGTTGCCATGCAGGGAAACTCACTGAGCTTTAGTATCCAGGGTTTTTATTGGGGGCCTGGTCCCATAGGCATGGCTGACTTTAGTCTCCAGCTTCTCCAGAGGTCAGGCTGATACCACATGTGGCCCAAGGTCCCCACCACAAATCACTTTGTTCATATGGTCTATCTGGCATGACCCATGGCCCTAGGTAAATAGACACTCTTATCAGGAGGACATTCCAAGGGCTTGGAGGTTACCTCCCTAGAGCTGGGAAAGGCTCAAACCTTCCTAGGGTAAGGTTAATCCTTGAATGCACAAGTGGGATACTGGAGGACACTAGGTAAGTCAGTTTTTCAACTTGAATTCCTCCCCACAGGGTTACTTTCTCATGTTTTGGTGGAAGTCAAGAAGATACCAGTGGAAGAGATATAATCCTTGGAATATTTGAACTTCCCAAGGAATCCCCAAGCAATTCTGTACCCATAGCCTACTGGCTCAATAAAAATATCAGCTCCCATGTAGCTATAAATCAACCCAGTGCTACCATAGATAATAACACCAAGGGCAGATTCCGCACTATTTGAAACCTTGAAGAACAAGACTGTACACTCCTGGTCCACAATGTACTTAAAAGGAACAGCATGACATATTTATTCTGTGCAGATCTAGAAACCAAGAGTCCTTCCTGTAGGGGGATATCAAACTCTCCATATCAGATGACATTCAAGCTCATTCAATGGGTGGTTTGTAAAAAAGATGTTCTGGTAATTGTGTGGTTTTTACTTCATAGGGCTTTATAAAATCCTAGGCATTTCATTTTTACAACAATAATACGATGATATAGGTACAATTGATAACTTTATTTTTCCAAATAGAAATGGCAAAGAGAGGGGAAGTGACTTACCCCACAGCATCCAGCAAGTAAGAGGTAGAGGACCGAAGTGATCACAGGTCTGCTGGAAAGGGGCAGAGCCTGAGGGGAGAGTTGGATTGGGAGGGAAGATGCAGCGTAGGAGCTGACCCTAGGAGGTCTGAGCTAGGAGACAGGTAAGGAATCATAGGCAATGCAGATCTTGGAAAATTCTCTCACCCTCAGGCTTGAGAGCCCAGGGTTCAGGTTCAAGCTCTGCCTCCTTAAGCAAGTCTCCTCAGTTTGCTCACCTAGACAGTGCAGAAAAGGGAAATATACTTGTGAAAATCTAACCAACAGTAACAGTCTCGGGTTCCATGAGGTTATCAGAGTAGGGGAGGGGTACCAAGTGAACTTACGGGTGAGAAAGCACTTTGTAACCTGGAAACACTGTGCATCATTGAAGTATCCATGAGAGTCCCTCTTTTCAGTCCAATCTGTCTTTCCCTTCAGACCAGACCCAGAAACCAGAGCTCCACATCCTAGAGATTCTTGTGGCTGGGGATCCTATGACCTTGACTTGTACCGTCAAAGGCACCTGAAAAGAAAGCAAAACCCCTTTCCTTTCCTGGAATTGGCCCACCATGTTCTCCAACACAGATGGCTCTAGCAACTCCTCCTTCTACTGCTGCACTTCACCCTGAAGCCTTAGGATTATAGCACCACCCTTGGATGTCGTTTGAATTTCTCCCCAGCTATGTTCACTGGAAATGCTGTGGTCATGTTCCAAGTGGTCTGTGAGTGCTGGTGGGCAAAGGAAGATCCAGAGTCTGGGAGAAATGGTGGGCCCAGGAGAAATTCCTTAGTCCTGGGGTGGGGTTGGGTGGGAGGAGTCTGGGAAGCTGTCACATCTTTACCGGGCTTCTGTGGCTGAAAGACCAGAGGTAAGAGCTGAGCCAGAATCAGACACAGATGAAGAAGAGGATGAAGGGGAACTGGTCTGAGAAGCCCAGCTTCTGTGGGCTTCCAGAAAGTCTTTCCGAAGCGACTTGGGAATCAGGAATAAGGAAAAGGCTGGGTCCTGGAGAAAGTGGAGACAGGAAGTCAGGATGCCTTGCTGACTGCTGACCTTCTCTCCCCATAGCACCCACAAGACTGCTCAATTCCTCTTGTTCCTTGGAGAAGACTCTGCAGTGCAGCTGTTCTTTCCATGGGATCCCCACACCCTCTATGGAGTGGTTGTTGGAAGGTGTCCCTGTGAGTGTGAACAACACAGATAAGGTCCTCCAGGTGACTTCCACCATATTTGGCACCTGGAACAACAGCACCATCAGCCTCATCGGGGAGCCAGACATACTCATGAATCTCCGCTGTGAGGGGAGGAACCAATATGGAATCCATGCTGCACGTATCTTCCTCCTACCAGGTAGGTACACAGGGGTCTCCTGACTGGGCTAGAACGACAACACATGGGAATCAAATTGAGGATGGGTGCAGGCTCAAACTTCACAGCCTTAGGGGGGAAAAAAAAACCACTCTCACTTCCTTCTGATTCCAGATAAGCATTCAGATTCCAATGTGTTGGTGAAAGGGCTGACCCAGGGCATTGTGTATGGATCCATTGTCTCCATACTGTTCTTCTTCCTTGTCCTCCTCACGTGAGTATCAGGTTAAAATGCACCATCAAGCCCTTTCCAACACCTACTACATTTATTTATGTTATTTCCTTCATCATCATTCTTCCAGTCTGTTCTTCTTTGCCCTCTTAACATGGTCTCTTATATCATTTAATTTAGCCATTCTTCTTCTCCAATATTTGCATTTAAGACTATAAATTTCCCTCTAAGCATGACTTTAGCTGTATCTCACAAACTTTAATACAAAGTATTTTAGTATCACTTGGTTAAAATATTTCTAATTTCCATTATGATTCTTGACCCAGGAGAGTTTTTCTTAGACACACCAGTGTTTTCTAATAATCCTGTTTTCTTTATTTCTAGCTTAAATCCAATAAGTGGATTTAATACTATGCATTATTTCAGTTATTTTCTTTGTGGCACAATTTTTGTGTGGTTTTTATAAATATTCCACATAGGCTTAAAAAGAATGTGTATTCTACACTTGATGAAGGCAGTGTCCCACAGATACATAGCCTTTAAATCAAGGTCATCTTTTCTAGTTGTACTGTGGCTTCTGCTCAGTGCCCTTCTCCGCACTTCACCCCCCATCCCTGCTCCCCTCTCTCACCTGGCTGACATTTACTCATCATTTAGGGCTCAGCTCACAGCCCTTCCATCATGTGCTCCAGGAAACCTTCCCTGGCACTGGGCTGGGCGCCTTTTCAGGGCCCCCACAGCCATCTGGGCTTTTGGATACTATTAGTGCTAATGGTTCTACTCTGATGTGGCGAAGTGTGGATATCTTTTTTTGTCTGTTTGCTGTTATGTACATCTTTTTGGCCTCTTTCATCTGTGTTCTGGTATCTTTTATCAACCCTGGAAATTTTTCAATCATTGTTTCATAGGTTGCTTCCACCCTTTCCTTTCACTGTGGGCTTCTCATTTAATATTTCTCAGACTTTCAAAAAAAAAAAATGTTTCTCAGGCTCTCTTTTTTTCTCTGTTTTTCCTCTTGCCCTGTGGCCTGCATTTTCCAAGGACATAGACAAGTAAGCAAGTGCTAGTTTAGAGATCCATACAAGGGAGATACCAAGGGGACCCCAGCCTTCAGAATCTCCATCCTTGCAGGGGAGGGTAGCACCCATACTGCCTAGAAATCCTCCCACACAGGGCGCCTGGGTGGTTCAGTCGGTTAGGTGTCTGACCCTCAATTTCAGCTCAGGTCATGATCTCAGGATCCTGGGATCAAGCCCCACTTCGGGCTCCTTGCTCAACGGGGAGTCTGCTTCTTTCCCTCTCCCTCTGCCCCTCCCCCCCACTCTCTTTCTCTAAAATAAATAAATCTTTTTTTAATTTAATTTTATTTTTTTTTTAAAGATTTTATTTATTTATTTGAGAGAGCGAGAATGAGAGAGAGAGCACATGAGAGGGGGGAGGGTCAGAGGGCGAAGCAGACTCCCTGCTGAGCGGGGAGCCCGATGTGGGACTCCATCCCGGGACTCCAGGATCATGACCTGAGCCGAAGGCAGTCGCTCCAAAGGCAGTCGTTTAACCAACTGAGCCACCCAGGCGCCCAAATCTTTTTTTTTTTTTAAAAAGAAAAAATCCTCCCACACACCCCTAAGAGCCTTCCTTCCCCAACGTGGTGCCCTGTCAGTATTACAGATGTTTTCTTTCCTTCCCCGATTCTCTTATCTCCTCCCCCTCACTCAGCAGTAAGTTTTACCTACTTCACAGGAAAAAAGCAACCCCCCAACACCTACAGAGTTATTGCCACTGGCACTGGTGATTTACTCCTTGCCTTTTTCAGAGAAAGAGACATCCCTCTTCTTGTCCAAGGTTAGCCTCACCTCTTTTGCCTGGGACTCCATTTCCTCCACACTCCATTAATCATCCCTTCTGTCTCCTAAATTTTCAATCACTCTTTCTTCACTGGCTCTTTCTCTGAAGTATATAAACATGCCCAAATCTCTCCTACCTCAGCCCCAAAAACTCCCTCTATGTACCATCCAATTTTTTTTTTGAGAGAAGAGTTTACACCCACTGCCTGATTCTCATCACCCTTACATTCGTCAGTCTCTCCTGCAGTCTGCTCTCCAGCACCATGCCACTGAAATGGCACTGTCTAAAGCAGTCAGTTATCCTTACTCTCAAAATTATTCTCAAAATCCAATGGCAGATGTTCTATATTTTTCTTGTTCACTTTAGGTAACATTTATGATTCTGGTGGGTGGGGTGAGGCCCTCCTACCCGTGGGTTTTTGTTTTTTTTGTTTTTGTTTTTGTTTTTTTTTTCACAATGAAGGAGGGCGGTGAGGCCATCTGCTGAAAGTGATGTGGGTGGGAGCAGGGGTGAGGGGAAGGGATCAAGAAGAGTGGTGATGGTGATGAGGCGATTGGAAGAGCGACACCAGTGTCATTGCTGCGTGATGTTCCCTCCCAGTAGTGGTGGTTGGAAGAGAAAGAGTGAATGGTGGCATTGATCTAGGTTTGGGTCTTTCCAGGCAGGATGTCATGGAAGGATGATAGGGTGGGAGACAAGAGAGATGTGAAAGCTGGGGGGAAAGAGCACTTCGAGTGGGTAGCCATTGTACCCTGAGGGGCAGGGAGGTAAGGAAGGGAAAACAAGAAGGCTTTCGCGAGGGCTAGGGAATGTGGTGTCTTGGGTCTGAAGCCTCCATCTGTGAGATCAAAGAACAAGAACACAAGACTGGATGGGAGCATAAGAAAGCTGAATAAGACAGAACTAGTCAGAGCATGGGGTATTGGGATTTGAACCGTCATAGGTGGAAAAGTTTTGGGGAATAATGCATAAGGGATAATGGTTAAAGGAGATCAGTCACAGTTAGGACTCTTCCAGTCGTGAGTGACAAGAGCTGAATTCAGCAAACTTAAGGAAAAAGGAAACAGTTACGGTTATTTGTTGCTATATTACAGTCCCCTAAGCTTAGTGACTTTAAACAATGGTTATTTTAGTATATAGCACAACTTCATGGATCAGGAATTTGAGTAGGGCCCAACTGAATGATTCTTCGGCTTCCTGTGGTATCCACTGAGGTCACTTGGTGATATTTAGCTGGCCGCTGGGCTGGGCTGGGCTGGGCTGGGCCAGAGGGTCCAAGATGCCTTCATTCACATGCCTGGCATTTTGCTGTGGACAGACAGAGGGCTGGGCTCAGCTGGGCCCCTCTCGCTTTCCATGCAGCGTCAGAGCCTTGCCTATCATGGTCGCTTCCAAGGCAAAAGCTGCCGGTCCTTTTCAAGGCTAGGCCTGGAATTGATAGAGGGTCACTTCCATCATATTCTCTTAGAGCAAGTCACAGACTAGCCAAGATTCAAGGGGAAGAGAAAATAGACCCCGTTTCTCCATGGGAGGAATGCCAGAAATTTGCAGCCATCTGTATGTGATCTGCTGCAGGAACATACTGACCATCTGTTAAGTCTAAGACTTCAACAACAGAGATTTATTTTCTCATAGTTCTGGAGGCTGGAAGTCCAAGATCCAGGTGTCAGCAGGACTGGTTTCTCCTGAGACTCTCCTTGGCTTGCACATGGCCACCCTCTTGCCTCTTCACAGGGTCATCCTTGTGTGCACACACACCCCTGCTCTCTGTCCTTCTTCTTCTTTTTTTTTAAAAAGATTTTGTTTATTTATTTATTTTAGAGAGAGAGCAAGAGAGAATGAGTGGGGGGAGGAGCTGAGGGAGAAGGACAAGCCGACTCTTTCCTTGTTCATTATGGCCTTCCCATTCCCTTGTGTTTCCCAGACTTGCATCATCATCCACCTTATCTGGTGGAGGGTTAGTGACTGTTAAAATCCAGCCCCTCCCCCTCAAGCCAGACCCACCAAATTAGAATCCTGAGGGGATGGGCCTGGGAACACATACCCAGGTTCTGCAGAGCCCAAGACAGAGCTCGATCCCACAACCCTGAGATAGTGACTTGAGCCGAAATCCAGAGTCTGCCACTTACCTACTGAGCCACCCAGGCGCCCCATCCCTGTTCTTACAAGGACACAAGTCATATTGGATTAGGATCCACCTAACAGCCTCAGTTTAACTTAATCACCTCATTGAAGGCCCTATCCAAATACAGTCCCATGGATTAGGGTCCATCCATATGACCTCATTTTACCTTAATTACCTTTTTAAAGGCCCTGTCTTCAAATACAGTCAGAATATTCTGAGGTACTGGGTGTTGGAACTTCAGCAAATGAATTGGATGGGATGAGGAGGACACAATTCAGCCTATAACAGGGAATATCTGTACTTCAGGCATGACTGGATCTAGGTATTCAAATGACGTTATTAAGAGTCTGCCATCCCCATGCCTTTGCTCTGCTTCCTTCTGTGTTTACTTGACCTCTGGAGGCTCTCTCCACCTAGTGGCAAAATGGCCAGGAGCAGCCACATGATTGTATCCTATCTCAGCAACTCTAGCTGAAACAGGACTTGTCTTCCTCTTGGAGACACATCAATTCCAGAGAAAACTCTGATTGTCCCTGCTTCAGTCACAGGGCCATCCTCAACTAATGTCCAGGTGGGTGAGGTACTTTTGTGGGCCAGTCCTAAACCTGCCTACTGTGCAATTTCAGTCCCATGGAAACCACAATAAAAGCTCCCACACGTGCTTCCCCCTCACTCCTACCTCCTGACCAACCCTGGTGCTTCCCTGTGTGGCCCTGTGTGGCATGGTGTGCCCCCTCTTGGGAACTTTGAAATTTTTTTAAAAGATTTTATTTATTGTCAGAGAGAGAGAGAGAAAGAGCACAAGCAAGGGGAGAGGCCGAGGGAGAGGGAGAAGCGGGACCCTGGGATCATGACCTGAGCTGAAGGCAGATGCTTAACTGACTGAGCCACCCAGGGGTCCCACCTCTTGGGAACTTTGAATAACAAACTATCTTTTCAACACAACCATCCTCCGATCTGTTGGCTTCACCACACTTGAATACAAACAAAATCCCACTCCTGGGGAAGAGCCAGACTGGGCAAAGCAGAGGGCCAGGGAGCAGGGCAGTTGCAGTTGCCAGGGCAAGAAAGGGAAGGGACCAGTTATGGATTCAATGGTACATCTACACAACAGAGCACTACGCAGATGTGAAAAAGACTGAGGAAGCTGTCAATGTACTAATATGCCCAGATACAGCGGAAATATTAAGAGAGAGAGGAAAGGTGAAAAAAAAATTAGTCTGGAAAAAAAAATCATATACATATTGAGACATTACAGGGCTGGGAGAGAAGCTGAGGAAAGGCACCACCATGAAGGGCCACTGGGTTGGAAGGCTGGGACTTTGTCGTGGGGGTGCTGGGGAGCCATGGGATGGCTGGGCAGGGAAGATGCAGGCCAGCTCTGGGGCAGGAGGCTGGAAAAGAGGCTAGGAAGAGGATCCAGGCCAAGAGAGTAGGGATTTGTGTGCCTGTTTGATAAGGAGAGGGGGGTACTGGTCACAGAACCAGGAAATGGAGGGAAAGGGTCTTCTGACCCCCAGCCCAGGGTTCCTTCTAGGAACAGGGAGACTGAGCACAGTATTAACCACAGGGCTCATTACCTTAGAATGAAGATACTTCAATGGTGGGAGGACAGGCCCATTGTCAAGTTCAAGGAGGCCCCAATCATTCAGAAACCAGAGCTGCTGGAGGAGCCAGAAACAGCCGTGAAGTCTGAAGCCAAAACCGCTGGGCATCAGATGGAGGTAAGTCCCTGGGCTGGGATTGGCCACCAGCCAGGCTGCTGCACAGCTGAGGCCAGCTGAACTCAACAAGCTGCCTGAACTCACTCACTGACCGTTGGCACCACCAAGGAACACTCCTTAGAAACAAAGATTGTCAGGGGCCCCTGGACCTGCAAACCCAACCCTTCAGGGTCAGAGCCCAGAGGGTCTGTGCTGCTGGCAATCTCTCCTCCTCATTCCGAGGTGTGGCCACTGGCAGGACTGGGCCTTCCCCGAGTGTCTGTCTGGTTCCTCAAGTCAAGTCCCCTTCCAGCAGCAGAGCCCCCTTTGCTGTGGATGGTGAGGACTCTGAAGGGCAGGCCCAGCCCTTGCCCCAGCTGGGGAGGCAGACTTGGCCACAAGTGGCCACTGCCCTGCCAGAAGAGAACAGTAAACACTAAGGTGTAGGCCTTGCTAGTCTGCTCTGGGCTGCCATAAAGTGCCCCAGACTCAGGAGCTTAAACAGCAGATATTTTCACAGTTCCAGAGGCCAGAAAACCAAGACCAAGGTGTCGGCAGGGCTGGTTTCTTCCAAGCTCTCTCCTTGGCTTATAGACGGCCACCTTCTCCCTGTGTCCTCACATGGCCTTCCCTGTGCGTGTGTCTGTGTCCTAATCTCCTCCTCTTGTGTGAGGACACCGGTCATAATGGATTAGGGCCCACGCTAATGGCCTCATTTTAACTTAATTATTTCTTTAAAGGCCCTGTCTCCAAATAAAGTCAGTGTGAGGTACTGGGGGTTAGGGCTTCAACATATGAATTGTGGGGGCCATGAGGGGGAGGGCACGGTTCTGCCTGTGACAGAGGCATCAAGGAGTTAGTCATATCCCTCCACTGGTGGGGACCCAGAGAGGAGAAGGGCTTGGCCAAGACAGAAGAATGCCAGGATCTTGTTCCCCCACAGTCTAGGGCACCTGAGCCAGAAGGACTGACCATGGACAGGAAAACTCCCAGACAGATCAAGATAGACACGTGGCTCACAGACGCCTAGATCCACCGGCCCAGTTAGACTTCACAGACCTACAGAGCTGGAGCAGCAACTCCATGTGAGACTCTAAGACCGGAGACCAGCACCAGGAGCTCACACATTCACCCCACAAGGACTCCCACAAGCCGGGACTGTTTGTCAGCCCCCTCACCCACCAGGGACATGCCTGCTCCCTGCCCTTGAGCAGCGCGGTCTGGGCAGGCAGGCCGACCTGCAGGGGCACAGATGACATACAGAGGAGCCTGGGGGGAGACAGCACTAGCAAATGGGCTAAAGCCATTGTCCACATGGGCACTGTGACCCAAAGTGACAGTGACCCTCCTGCAGCCTCGGGCACTGCCAAGCAAAGCTAGGCTCTGCACTCCACAGAGGGAAACTGAGACCCATGGGAGGGAAGCACCTGAAACACTAAAGAAGCCCCAAAGGTTTTCTGCAGGGACACGGGGGAGATCATGAAGCCTGCCCTCCACACCCCCCACATTGCAAACGGGGAAACGGAGGCTCACAGTGCCTTGGACCACACAGCAAGACTGTGCACTGCTCAGGACCCCTCCATCCCAGGACCCTTGTTCCCTGGAGCAGTCACCCCTGTCCCCTGGCTATTTTCTCCTGACCTTATAAGACTATAGTGCGGAGGCTGCAAACTCAAAAGCCCACAGGAGTCCCGCAGGTAACAAAATGAGTGCTGTTGGCCCCTATGGGAACCAGGTGGTCTTGAGAGCAGATGCCCCCACCTGCAGGGGGCGCCAGCAGCAGCGAACTCAGTTCCAACTCTTACCTGCCCCCTCCCGCAGCAGGAATGAGATCTGCTGGGTCTTCTGGTTTCTGTTTTATCTATTCATTTGTTTGTTTTCAGAAGAATCCAGAAATCTAGATTCCAGTGTGAAATTTCTGGATTCAAACTATTAATAACTTTTTAAAAAGCAGCACGGGCCCCCGAAAAGCCATACGTGGACCTATTGTTTGCAAGTCTGATCAGAAACATAGATGTGGAGGAGACACCTTTTCTCTAAACACACCTCCTGCCCAAAGGTGTTGTTACTCAGAATGCGAGCATCTTGCCCAGTGGAAAAGAATCCCTAGACCCTGGGCAGCGGCTTGGGTCTGGAAGGATGAGGAAGAATTATTTAGGTGGAGAAAGACATTCCAGGAATTCATTCACGTGTGCTGTCACAAACAGCTGTGGTGTCCCCATGTGGCAGGCCTTGGGTCGGGGACACAGAAAAGTGAGGTTCAGGTCCTGCCCGAAGGCCCTCCCGGGTCTCAGCCAGCAGGGCCAAGGCTGCGTGCAGGGAGCATCAGGGAGGGGCCGGGGCTGGCACAGGGAAGAGAGAGCGTGACCTCATCGGGAGAACCAGGAGCTGGAGCATTGCCACCTGAGCTGGGCAGACATGCTGGGAAAGCGGGGGGCCGGGGGAGGGGGTTGCCTGGGATGCTCCAGCGAGGGCAGCACAAACGGGGGGCAACAGCAGGGAGGAATGAGCCAGGCAAGGCACCACAGGAGGAAGCTCCCCTGCTCACTGGCCTCAGTGGTCACCCAGCCAGTTACAGACTCGTGGACACAGGGACACACAGTTCAAGAAAAAACGTGCTGTCCCCACAGGTAGGTGGCGGGGAGCCAGAGCAGCTCCACAGATGAAGATGAGGTTGGAAAGCGGATCATCAGCCAAGGAGTGGCTGCCTGGCTGACCTCTCTCCAGAGTCTCTGGTTCAGCCCCCACCCCTCCTCGTCACTCTTTGCCTCCGTCACCATCCCTGTCTCGCCCGCTCCCTCTGTTCCTCATCTAATACACGTTTCCCCCAGGCCCCCAGGTGCCACACTCATGCCGAGCCTTGCAGGGACACAGGCGTGAGACCAGCCGCTCCCTGTCCAGACTGGGACACAGGTGCCTCCGCGGGAGGGCGGGGCTGAGAGTAGGGGGTCACTGAGGCTCGGAGGTGGATGCCTAAGCTGCTGAAACCCACTATCCATCAGAGGAGGCTGCTTGGTCCCCATCTAGCCTGAGGTGACTACTCACCTCCAGACAAACTCCCAGTCTCTGGTTATGTGATCAACAGTCACTCATGTCACTGGCCAAATCTAGCTATTTCCTCACTCGCCCCGAGGAGGAGATCAGGGGGGGAGGTGGACTTTATGAATACCCTTCCCCTGTTCCTTCAGGAGATGATGGGGACAACGGTGATGATGGCACCCAGTGCACTCCAAGCCCTCAGGCCTCCTTTATCCACATAGCCCAGCAGCACCGTGGAACGGGTCTGGTGGTCGTGTTCATTTTACAGAGGAGGAAACTGAGGCCCAGGGAGGTTGAGAAACCTCCTATGGGGGGGGCGGGGAGAAAGAAACCTCCCTAAGGTCACACCTCAACTTTATGAGACAGGAGCTAGTCCCCCACCTTTTCCCACAAGGAAGCTGGCATTCGGAAAGGGGAGGGTCCTTCCCACCCGTTCCCGGGAGCCCTGTCCCTCAGGATGGCTTCTACTGATGCAGGAGACCTGAAGGCTGGAGCAGGCTGGAGAAGGAATCTCTCTGGGAGCAAGTCCCTGCTCCCCACCCCTCTCATTCTCTCAACAGCCACCATGGTTCCACTCTCAGTTAACCCTTTGTGCGCCTGCACTTTGCTAGGTTTGGAGGATGGTGGTGGACAGGGCTGCCACTGTCCCTGCCTCTCCAGGGTAAGGATCCCCATTGGTCACTGCAGCGGGGCTGTGGGAGCATGAACCTTCGTGGTCGGCCACGGGGCGCTGGAGCTGGGCCACCTGTGATGGGACCCCAGCACCGCCCCGAGTGTGGGCTGGTCAGGTACCCCATTCCCAGCTTCATCTGCAGAATGGGAGCATAACGTCATGCGTCACTGTGAAGTGGGAATGTGTTCATGGCTACCTGGCATCGAGCAGGGCATTGAGGCCCCTGGAATGGCAGCTCACATCTGTTGAGCTCTTTGCGTGCACCACGTCGTCTATTCTAAGCACGTTAAGATCCTCCCATTTGTATCCATCAGGGTTCAACCCTAGAAACAGAACCAGTAGCCGACCTGTATTAAGAGATTCATTGCAAGGAATTGGCTTGTGTGACTGTGGGGCTGGCTAGGCAGGTCTGACATCCGCCGGGCAGGCAGGCTGTCAGGGCAGGCGGGAGACTCTCAGGCATGGGAAGCTGTTGTCCCCAAGCAGAATTTCTTCTCCTGGGCATCCTCTGTTCTGCTCTAAAGGCCTTTCAACCGACTGAATCAAGCCCACCCAGATGATTGAGAATTATCTCAACTGATTAGAGATGTCAGTCACATGTACAGAATACCTTCAGGGCAACAGTGGCTGGGACTCTGACTCAACAGAGTCCACTGACAGGGGACTCTGGTCGAGCCAAGTTCACACGTAAAACTGACCGTCCCACCATTTGATCCCCACCCCAGCCCTGTGAGGTGGGTGCTGTTATCCCCATGCTATAGAGAGGGACAAAGAGACTCAGATTAAGGAGCCTGCCTGGTTGAACACAGGTCAAGGTGCTGGAGCCAGTGCTTGGACACCCCCACCACCTGCCTCAGGCAGTGAGCATCTTCAGCTGCTGTTACCAACACCCAGCACAGTTCCAGGGACCCAAAAGTGGCAGGAAAAAGGAAAGTGTATTACAAAGTGGGTGACCATCGCTGACTTTTCACGGGGAGGAAGCCAGTGAAGAGGTTAAGGAGTTATTCTTTTTTTTAAATTTTTTTATCGTTACATTAATCACCATACATTACATCATTAGTTTTGGATGCAGTGTTCTATGATTCATTGTTTGTGCATAACACCCAGTGCTCCACGCAGAATGTGCCCTCCTTAATACCCATCACCAGGCTAACCCATCCTCCCACCCCCCCAGGAGTTATTCTTTCAAAAATGTATTGAGAGCCTTACTGTGTGTGAAGCATGGAGGTCATAACACCCATTGGGAGAGACAAGGTCCCTGCCCTCCGGGAGCTTAGAGTCCCATGGGGGAGACACCGAGCAAGTGGACAGGAATAAATAAACGGGATATGTGACGGGTAAGGGGTGGTGAGGAAAGCAGTGGGTGCCCCTGGCCAAGGGGCCAAGGGTGGCCGCGGAAGGCTCTCTGAGGAGGTGAAGGTCTTCGAAGAAGAGAGCCTAAGCAAAGGGTAGAGATGAGCAAAGGTCTGGGGGCTGAGTGCCCAGTGAGTTTGCGGAGAGGAAAAAAGCCAATGCAAGAATTCTCCAGAAGGATGCTGCAGTTCCCCCAGGACCCAACCAAGAGTCCCTTGAGAACCCACAAACACAAGGCGTGGGCCACTTCCAACACCACCTGTTCTTATTTTAACTTCCAGCTGTGCTTTAATGAGTTCCTCATTTTCAAAGAGGCTTTGCAGGAACAAGTTACAAAGGGGAACAAAATGAAAAAGCAAGACCCCTGCCTCATCCCACTCCCCGGAGACAACCACTGTCCTTGGTTCCTGTGTTTCCCCCCAGAGCAGTGGTTCTCCACGGGAGCAACGTTGTCCCTCCCCGGAGACACTCTGGGTTGTCCTGACCATTACGGGCGGGAGGCAGGAAGAGAGCTCCTGACATCTAGGGCTCGAGTCCCAGGGGCTGCTCAACATCTTGCCATGCCCAGCACCTGATGAACACTCACTGAATAAACAAAGCCTATGCTAGCACTGGGACAGCCCCCTCCAGTAAGATTCTTAAACAACTTCCTGATAACAGATGATGCTTACAGAGGTGTGCGCAGGGTTAGGGCTCCCAGGATCCAGCAACATAGGAAGGAAAAGGCTCCTTCCAGATTCTGTTGCATCCTGGTGGAACCAGGGGGAGAAATGTGCCCCTGGGGCCTCACTGAGAACCAGTGCTGGGGCAGAGGGGCAACCCGACAGGAACCAAGGAGGGCAGCGGGCAAGGAAGACAGCATTCTCCAGCCCCCCTCCAGTGTTCAGCCTGTACCTCCCTTTTGCCAACCCCACCTTGAGGTCAAAGGGCAGGGCAGCTTGTTGATGTGATCAGTAGAGGTCAGCCTTCCAGGCATGTGTCAGGGGAGTGGAGGATGGAGGAGGGATGCAGTGAGAGGCTGAGTAATGGTCCCCAAAGATATCTGATCCTAATGCCTGGAACCCATGAATGCTACTTTATGAAGGAAAAATGGTCTTTTCAGATATGATTAAATGAAGGATCCTGAGGTGAGTGGATTATCCTGGATGACCCAAGTGGGCCCCAAATACAATCACAATACCCTTACATGAGGGGCAGAGCTTGGGGCCACGCAGCCACAGGCCAAGGAATGCAGGTGGCAACCAAAATATTCTCCCCTGCCCCACCTCAGGAGCCTCCCAAAGGAGCACGGCCCTGTTGACATCTTGCTTTCAGCCCGGCGAAATTGGTGTTGGACTGCTGCCCTCCACAACTGGGAGGGAACGGCATGTGTGGTTTTAAGCTGCCGTGTTTTTGGTAGTTTGTTTCAGCAGTCACGGGAAGCCCAGGCAGATGGGGATGGTGATACAGGGGGAGACAGCAGCACAGCAGAAATCATGAGAGCTCTCCCTCCTGGCTGGGTGCTGGGATGCGTGCTGTTCCAATGTCAGGAAATTCCCTTCATTCTCAAGCAACTCCAAGAGCAGGAATCGTTATTTTTTTTTTCTCCATGCAGAACGTGCCCTCTTTAATACCCATCACCAGGCTAACCCATCCCCCTACCCTCCTCCCCTCTAGAACCCTCAGTTTGTTTTTCAGAGTCCATCGTCTCTCATGGTTCGTCTCCCCCTCTGACTTACTCCCCTTCATTCTTCCTCGAGCAGGAATCATTCTTACCTTCAGTGTTTTGGATGATGAAACGAAAGCACAAAAATATTAAGTAACTTGCCCTGCCAAGCATTTTCTTCTTTAATTTGAACAGGAAAATTTTAATATAAGGAATTATTAACTCTAAGAGGTAATATTCTTTAAAGGGGCAGAGGAATATTGTAGGATTCGGGGAGGTTGCCCGAGGAAGGAATGAACTTGGAAAGGGCCCTCCCCACCAAAGCTGGGGTGCAGCCCACACTGTAAGATCTGTGGCTGTGGATCACTGGACGGTGGGGAAGGTGGCTGGCTTGCCCAGACTAGAGCTGGTCCACAGATGCCGAGCAAGCAGAGAACACCCCTCCCAAGTGCTGGCAGGGTGAGGCTGGAAAGCTAGCTTCTAGGACACACTGGGAAGGCCTCAATTGGGAAAACACTGAAACTTGATGAGATGCCATCCACATGGATGAAACCTGATGGAAGTGAGCACCACTGAATATGCCCCATGTGTGTCACTGGTGACCACAGGGTCAGAGCAAGAGGAAGCCCAAGGAAAAGTCAGAACAGGGAAAAGCCCTGTTCCTTCTGCAGTGTCCCTCAGGCTCCCTCTACTGACAAAGCTTAGCAGCCCACTCACTGCAAAGGGAGGATATTTAAAGATTCCAGCTCTGTTTTTGCAGAATTGGTAACAAAGACTTTGGAGCATAGAGGCAATAGCCAAGTAGTATGATGATCCGCTTATTGTGCCAGGTCTGGGAGAGGTGGGATATTCTCTTTATGTGATTATCAGATATCCTTTGTGTGTGTGTGTGTGTGTGTGTGTGTGTGTGTGTGAAGTGCCTGTTCAGGCCTTTTTGCCAAGTTTAAAAAATGAGTTGTCTCTTGTTGATTTGTAGTAGTTCTTTATATATTCTGGCTACTAGTTCATTGTCAAATACACATATGACACATATCTTCAGCCATGTCTAAGGTTTTGGGAAATTTTTTTACTTCTCTGTGTCTCTATTTCCTCATCCGTGAAATAAAAAGACAAGACACACCTTATAAGGATGTCATGAAGCTTCAAGGAGGTAATATCGAAAAAGTGCTCAGAAAGATGCCGGCACATAGTAAGCACTCCTGTTGTCATCAGGCCTGGCATGGGCCAATCCAGGAAGAGGAATCCTGTTCTCATCTTAATTTTGGATGGTCCTGAGTTCAAGAGGAGCAATAAATGGTCTTTTGCCAGGGCCACAGCAGATTCTGTACAGTGGTGTACTGATACAATGACCCTCCAAAAAAAAGTTCTGATTTGTAGTGGTTGCTAATTGCCATGGTGTAAGTACTCCCTTCATGGCCAGTTTCAAACTAACAATGGTTTAACATCCAGACTGCAGAATTACTGGAAATCTAGCAGTCTGTTCTCCGGAGCCAGTGAAAGTCATCTGCTGTGTACCCCAGCTCCTGTACCACCAGGTTGGGTTAACTTAGGTGGATCTCTTCCTCTCTGTGGATCTTCGTCCCTTCCACCTGTCTAAAGGGGGCAAGTCATCCAACTCATTCATGCAGTACTGATTTAGTGAGTACCTTCTATATGTCAGTCACTGGGCTTGGCTCTGGAGATGCAGACTGAGCAAAAGCAAAGAAGACCCTCCCTAGCAAAGATATTCTGAAAGTAGGGGCGGGGGGGGCAGGTAGGGTAATGACTGAAAATAAATAAGCAAGCACATGAAATCAGGGAATCATAAGATCTACGGAAAAAACAAAGCAAGTATGACAGCTCTTGTGTTGGGAGGGGGTTTACTTTGGCTAGCATGATTGACAAAGGCTTCTTAAAGGTGACACCTGATATGGGGTGCCTCCGTGGCTCAGTCGGTTAAGCGTCTGCCTTCAGCTCAGGTCATGATCTCAGGGACCTGGGATCTAGCCCTGCATCTGGCTCCCTGCTCAGCTGAGAGTCTGCTTCTCCCTTTTCCTCTGCCCCTCCTCCCACTTGTGTGTGCGCGCGCTCTCTCTCTCTTTCTCAAATAAATAAAATCTTTAAAAAATAAAGGTGACCCCTGATAAAGAGTCTGGTACCAATCTGGTGGGAAGAGCATTCCAGCAGAGGGAACAGCCAGTGCGACAAAGACCTGTGGCTGCAACAAGTTTGGCTTGTTTGAGGAACAGAAAGCCAGAGCAGCTGGAGCTGAGTGAATGTTTGAGGCTGGGCCGGGGCGTCGGCTGGTTTATGCGTTCAGGGGTGGTGCATCTGAAGGCAGAGGCGAAGGTGGACCAGGACACTGGCTGGTCTAGTCAGAGCAGGCCTACAGGGGGTGATGGTGGCGGCTCAGACCGGTGAGAGTACCCAGCACAGGGAGGAGTGGACAGAGTAGAGACCCTGTTTTAAAGGCAGAGCAGGCTGCTCTTGCAGACAGACTAGATGTGGGGGGGGAAGAAGGGAGGATGTGTTTGTGAGGTAGACTTCAGAAACTCCTGCCTGCAACGGCCGCAGACATGGAGTAGGTTGAGACTTCTCTTGCTTCAGAGGTCAATATGGGAGACGGGACAGGGACACCTCACCTGGCGGGCCCAGAGGGAGGACCCTACCTAGTGATGTAGGAAAGACGTTAGGGCTCGAAGCTGACGGCCAAGAAAGAATTCTTGAGACCGTCTTTGGTGCAAAAAAAGTGGTTTTATTACAGCCCGGGGACAGGACCCGTGGGCAGAACTGCCCTGGGGTTGTGAGGAGTGGCTCATTATATACTTTCAAGTCGGGAGGGGCTTAGGGATAGCGTAAGGCTCCCAGGTATTTTGGAAACAGGATCCTGAAGGGGGCTAGCTGTTGTTAGGAAAAGGTCATTTATTACTGTTTAGTAAAAACTCGGTCATGAGACCCTTCAGATGTACATAGGTGGGTCATATGCTTGGGGGATGGTTGTCAACATGTCTCTTGGGGGGTGGAGGGGGTAGAGAAAAAGGAAGTTTCCAAAGGAATTTTTATATGTTCAAGTCGACGATCCTGGGGGTCGGGCTAAGACTGCCTTTTGCACTTAGCAAAGTATTACCATCAAGGCAGCTGAGTTCTTAGAGGAATGTCACTTTGCCTGTTTCCAGGACTTGTCAATGGGCTGTAGACAGTAAAGAAACTTAATAATTTTTCTTCTGCCTTTGTTTCCCACATCAGGTAGCAAGTGGGTGCCTGGTGGGACCAAGAAGAAAGAACTAACCACAGGTTGTTGGGATACTGGGCAGAGCCAGCAGTTTCCCCAGGATCTCTCTTCTTTTCTCAATAGCCTTGGGAAATAAAGATGATTCCCTCTTGCGGGGCAGACAGGGAGGTTCTGGGAAGAGAAGTGACTTGTCTAAGGTCACACAGCCAAGTAAGTGAGAGAATGGGGGGTCCAGATTCTCCGCACTTTACCATCTCCTCTCCGGTCCCATGCCCAGGTTCCTGGTCCTGCCCCATTCCCCCTGCTGTCCTGAGAAGGAGGACTGGAGTAAAGAGAACAAGGAAATTTTACTCCAAGAGGCAGTGTTGTTCATGAAAGTAGACAGAGAAGCTGAACTGTGTCCTGCAAGAAAAGGAACTGGAATCCTAGACTCCTGGGTCTGAGGGAGGAGGGGCTGGGGTCTGGACTCCTGGGTCTGAGGGAGGAGGGGGCTGGGGGG